GACTCGCATAAAGCTGAAGAAAGCATCGCATGGTATGAAACAGGTTTCTTATCACTAGAATTTAGAGATTTCAGTTTGAACATGTCGTTGACAAAGAGAAGCAGAGTAATATACCGTTGATCAATGTACCTCAATAGGGGGAGCAGTCATTCTCTGTTTCCTCACATAATAATCAATTAAGAAATTTCTTTGAGTAATGAATAATATTTTGTATTTTATTGTGCTATTTATATTCTATGATTAATTGTCTTCCTCTTCTTGAAACGAAATCCCATAAATATATATATATATAATTGTGGATTCAACACAAACTAATAAATATCAATGAATGTGAATCAAATTTTCTACTGTATTGATGGTGATACCCAAATTTTTGAATGCTGAATTTTGAGATCATCGAAGGAGACCGTGTGCACCATTCAATTCTTTGGTTTTGAGCATCTTACATATATTGTAATTTGAAAAGGAGTATATACTGCAGGTATATGAAAGAGGGTTGATGATGATGTTGGTTGCTTGAGAAATCACCTTGCCCAATTGTTGCTTAGGATGAAGGTAGCGTAAGTTGTAAGATCTTTGGATTGGGTTTTTTATGAGCTGAAATGTATGGGCTACTACTTCGATTTTATCTTCAGACTTGATGTTTCTTATAACATGTCAGAACAATGAATTATTTAATATTTAAGTCAATAATTATATGTTGTATGAGTAAAAATATATATATATGAGAGGGTAAAGAAAGTGCTGAGAATATACATGTGAGTGTTCTTGTTAGAACTTGAATGTTTATGGTTGTACGAAGCTCTAACTTGAATGCCTTAAATTATCTTGGAGTTACTTGAATGTTTATATAGTGACTAAATATTTATAAACTGTGATAATATCAACTTAACTCGTACTCGTGAATAAATATTTCATGATGCATTGAGTGGTAGGTGTCTTATAAGAAGTAAAGTTATAGATGTTTCATGGTAAAGAAAACAAAGCAATCTTGTGGTAAGATATAATTGAATTTTTTTTTCAAATATAATTGGGTGAAATTATAGATAAAATTGCTAGAAAATCAAAGTTTAGGAGTCAATTAAGTGCCAAATTAAAAAAATTTAGAATTAAGGATCAATTTGTAAAACACGCAAGACTTTAGGAGTTGAAATGAGTGAAATCAAGAACCAAATTCAAGAAAATTAAAAGTTAATTGATCAACTAGGGATGCTTGCATAAATTAGAAACCAAAGACAAAAAGGAAACATCATTGAACATTGGGGTTAATATTTGAGTTTGGCAAGGATAAAATTGTATAAAATTAAAAGTTATAAAATAATTACGAGTATAATCAAAAGATATCAAGATATCATAGACCGATTTGACTTTTGGTCAAATCCAAATAATTAACTAAGGGTTATCAAAATGATGTCATTTCTTTTAAATAAAACGGTACATTTTAATAAAAGTATTTGATTTTGGTTCAAAATGATGCCTTTTTATATCATTTCAAAAATAAAATAAAAATAAAAAAGGTTGGGTTTTTTCACTGCAGATCTCTGTTTTCCTTAAAAAACCAGAAAAAACTGGTTTTACTAGCACTTCCTAAGCCCAAAATCATCCTTATCTCTTCCCCATATAAGACAATGAACATACATCTAACAATCTACATATTATACTCCTACATATACAAAATAAAATCTCTTTTATAGCCTTGAAAGCGCTATTACGAGAAGCCAAAACTCATGCCCCAACCAGCCATACTTATTAGTGTACCCTTTTTGTCAGTTCTAAAACACTATAAGGCTGGACCCTCAACCTCAATGAATAGCTTGGATTACCATGTCAATAGCTTAGATGCTTAATCATCTGATGCAATATACGAGAATTAACTCCAATACTCTAAAAGGATTCTGCCCATAAACAATCTCAAAATGACTCAGTTAGGTAATCTGATTCCGAGACCTAATATAAGCAAACTCTGCTTATAGTAATGTCATATCCCACTATTTTGGCTTATCTCTAACCAGGCTTTGCAATAAGTTGTCGAGAGTGCAATTAACTACCTTTATCTACCCATCTGTCCAAGAATGATAAGCACTATTAAAGTTTAATTGAGTTCTCATCCTTCTCTACAAATTCTTTTAGAAATTGCTCATGAACTTGACATCCCTATCAGTACTGGCTAGGGACCCATAATCACTTTCTTAGTATTGATCACGCTGTCTCTGGTCATCCTAGTACCTCTCCTCCAACCAATGGGTTAATTTTGTGATCTGTCTTTGTATGTCTTTGATGACAAGCTCTTGGACATTCCTCTCTCAAAAGGAGGGCTCCTCATCCCTTTATTGGCCACGCCTTGCTCCACGACCTCTTTCGACCATGGCTTGTTAGTGCACACAACAAGAAACAAATTCTCTTCAATAAGATTGTAGCACACAATTCTCAATAAACTTGGGATTGGTGGGCTTTGATACCAATCAAAAGCTAAATATAAAAACAAAAAAAAAGAAAGAGCACGAGAATTTTAATGAGCGAAAGGAGTTGCAAATGTGAACCCCAAGTTCATAGGTTTTACTTTCTCCAAAATAATAATCCTCCTGTAGGTTTATAAAGCCTTAAATAAGCCAAAAACCTACCTCAACCAGAAAACAAAATAAAAATCCAAAATTATAAAGGAAAGAAGCATGAAATCCAAAAATAACAATGATAACCACAAAAATTATCAAAATTAGGGCCCTAGGTAAGATTTTCAAAATCTAAAGATCTAACTATCGGAGTAGCTACTCTAAGTAATACGACCTACGAACAATCTTATAAGAATTTTAGTGTGATCCAATGGTTAAAGGAAATATTATGGCCCTTTTGAATTATTATTCTGATCTGATGTGATCATATGTCCTCTTGGACCTAAAATTATCTCACTAGTCTATAAATATATCTGTTAGGCCATCAATATAATCTATTTAAAGCAAATCATTATCTTGTTGTGACAAACTCATACCTCATTGTCCAAAATTACTCATTATCACAAGCTTCACTATATCATTATTGTTTTGTTTTAATGTATTATTTGTGCTTATTAGTTCTATATTAAAAAAAAATGCAACACTAAAATTGTTGCTTTAAATGATAAAATTTCATAATCAAAATAAGTGAAAAATAAGTGAAAGGAAGCAAAAAGTGTTCTCCTTAAATTGTTTCATAACCAAGAGAAATAGGGTTTGGCCAGTTTTTTATGATCATTTAGTGTAATTACTGCATCATAAAGTAACATTTGTCTATAGTTCTAAATAGAGTTGTGGGAAAAATATGTAATAGATAATCTGGTTTAGTCTTTTTCTCATTGTTTGGAAAGAAATGAGAAATTTAAATGAAAAACATTTCTCAATGAATAGAAATTGAGGCCTTTCTGGAATTTTATATTGTCTGTGAAAAAAGCATGCTCGAGTGAAATAATTCAAATTGAGTCCTGAAATCTCAAAAGTACTTTTCACTAATGTTGCGAACAGATTATAGTCTCTTTTCATACTTTGCATTGTAGCATAGCATCCAAAAGATGTAACGAACAGTCAAAGAAGATATTTGAAAATACAGGTTTTTTAAAAATTTTAAATTTTTTTGTATAAAATTATTTTTTTATGTTTTCAAATTATTTTAACGTATTAATATCAAAATAATTTTTTTAAAAAATATTATTTCAATATATTTTTAAGTAAAAAACAATCATTATCGCATTTTAAAGTTGGTTTAGAATTGATAAATGACTTTGTTTATCTGTATTTTTGGTAGAATTTATCCCTGATTTTTTACAAGGTAAGGATCTTTTATTATGGTTATCTCTGTATAAATAATTCCCGAGTTACGAGAGTTAGAACCTCCCAAGAAACTAATGCGCTTGAAAGGAAAATCAAATTTTCACTACTAAAGGGATTTCAACCACTGATAGGGTTTACATTATCCCTGCTTTTATTCAAAGTCGCAATATTTATTGATACATGATACAACGAAGCATAAAGGAAACGAGCACACCAGAGAGCTGTCAAAGCCCTCGTAAACAACACTAAGAAACAACAAAAACACATTAATTTCCGTACATTATTAGAGCATATAAGAACAACACCATGAACAAAGCATCGACGCATTGACATTGTATCGATGGATATTTTAGAGATAAGACAACTTATTTCTCCCAATAAGAAGTTAGATTGTCGTCTGTGGTTTGACAAAGATGCCAATGGCGTCGAGGTAGTGTCCAGCTCTTCCATGGAATCCAACCACCGTATTATTATTTATGGGGATGGAGAAAGGAGTGCCAGAACCGGTTCCAAAAGGTCCATAAGTAGCCCTATTTGTAGTGAATGACAGCGATGTGATCGTTAATAAAGTGCTGAAATTGCCATATGTCCCACTTATGGATATCAGGTGTTCAGAAGGCCAGTTAATAAGAACCTGCAAATAATGCAAAGCAAAATACGTGAACTATTTTAATTAGTAGTTTGTGAAACATAAATGCAAACGGCAAAAAAATCGAAAAACTTTTAAAAATTTTTGACAATACAAACTGCAAAAAAAAAAAAAACATTCTTAGTTAATTTTTTCCTTTAGATATATTTTCTATCAAAAAACTTAACACGCCACAAGGGGGAATACTTACAGTTTTCCTTTCACCAATGTCATTAGGGTTTTCGCCTCCGAATGTTGCAGAATCCAAGCCAGTTGTGTCCCGGAAAGATATAGACTTAATGTTTGATCCTACATGGATGACTATCTGGTTTATACCTCGATTTGTTATATAACTCCATGGACTCCCACCTCGGCCTCCCCATGGACCTATTGAAATGGTTCCTTCTATGTCCCTCTGCATCGTAACCAATAACCACTGTTACAGAGTTTTTTTTTTTTTTTTGCTCTAACTGGGGTCCAAACTACCCAGCAAATTTTTAAAAAAAATTCATGAAAAAAAGAAAAACTTTACAGGTTTCACATGGATGCCAATTGCATCAAGGTAGTGGCCTCCTCTTCCATGAAATCCAGTCACGACCGAACCTTCAATTGGTATGGAGAAAGAAGTGCCGGTAGCATTTCCAAAAGGTCCATATGTGGTGAGATTAGTTTGGAATGCTAGTGATGTGATCACCACCATTCCAGCATAATCTCCATATGTCCCGGTTATGGATGTTAGATGCTCTGAATGCCCATCGATCTCAATCTACACACATGTTGCATCATAGAATATTGTATATGGTATTAGCTTAGCTAAATAAGGAAGAGAAAAGGAAATGCTTCATTTGATTTGCTATCCTATGCAAGCCATAAATGCCATACTCACTCTTCTTTCTTCACCAGTGTCATTAGCGTTTTTGCCGCCAAATTTTCCATACTCATGGCCATTTCCGTCTTTAAAAGAGAGGGACTTGATATTGGTTCCTTCATGAACAATTATCTCTTTTATCCAGCTTCCCACCCTAAAACTAAAAGGATCTCCACCCGGACCACCCCATTGCCCAACTGAAATGCTTCCATGCGAATTTGCCTGCACGAAAACCAATAGTCAATTATTTCTGTTGTTACTAGCCATATGGCGCGACCCACCGGCATTGCAACACTTGGCGAATGTTTCAAAAGGATACATGTCTGAGAAATACTAGACGAGGCTGTAAAATGTCACAGCAAAATGGCGTACTGATATATAGAAGAGGACGCTAGCTTAAAAGAAAACAATATTCATAAAATCCATATATATTCAACCAAAGAGAAGTGAAACCTTAAGACTCAGACGAGGACGCATACTTAAAAAGAAAACAAGCAACAATAATAACCATATATTTACTGATAAAATATAGTTGAATGAACTTACAGGTGTCACAAAAATACCAAGTGCATCAAGGTAGTAACCACATCTCCCATGGAATCCAACCACGGTGCTATCTGCTATCGGGATAGAGAAAGTTTCACGAGCAGCTGTTCCAAAAGGTCCATACGTAGTGAGATTTGTAATGAACGATAGGGAAGTGATCACTAATAATCCTTTGCATCTTCCACAAGTTCCGCTTATAGATTTCAAATGCTCTGAAGGCCATTGGATTGCAATCTATACATGACAGAAAGCATAAAATACAAGGTAAGTAAAATATCCAAGTGCTGCTGATCTATTACTAATTTAAAAAAGCAGAACGTGTTAAAATTATAAAGGGAAATGAAGTACAAAACATTCAGCAAGAAACATAACAGACAGATTATAAAGGATCTACAAAAATGCTATGGAATTAGCCTCCCTGTAAATGTATTGATATATGAATAGTTAAGTCACCTTTTTCTCTTTACCCCTGTCATTAGGGTCGTTGCCAGTGCCACCGAATGTCCCAGAAACCAGGCCACTGGCATCTTTGAAGGAAATGGACTTGATATTTCCTTCTACACGGAGGACTATCTCAGTTATCCCACCGCTTGCCCTGTAACTCCAGCGGTCGCCACCTAAACCTCCCCATGGTCCCAATGAAATGATTCCTTCCGAGGATGCCTGAGCACAAACAGTAGTCATCATCAAAACACATGTATCTATTAGCATCGGATGGAAATGTAAGTTAGATAGTTTCATACCATTTGCTTAGACGAATCTGTCGAATGTTGGAATGTATGTGTCCTTTATGTGGTTAATGCAATTGTGTCGGAGGTATATATAGACAGATTAGATAAGGAGGGGGGTATATATATTTGTTTATTTCAAATATCCAAACAACGAGGGAAAAAACAAAATTATCATACTGGAAGAAAAACGTGCAATATAAACTTTATTAATGCAATCCAAAAATTTAAATGTCACGGACCACGACAGTATATGACAATTTGCATTGTCGAAGACTTATCGTCAGAAAGATTTCTTACAATATTTGTAACTAGATGATAATGTTAGGATGCTGGCATGCAAACCCGACAAGATAAAAGATAAGAGACCGGATAAAATGAGAAATGGAACACACAAGAATTTACGTGGTTCAATAAGTATAGTATAAATGTTTATTACTCAAATGAAAACCACACACAAAGGAGGTTCCAATCAAATTATAAATTGTTAACATGAGTACATTAGTTATCATATTCGAATAATGTTAATACTTGTAAATGTTGTCAGGTATTCAAGATTATAACTTATGTTAACAACAAATCAAGTTCCTTTCATAGCACAAGTGTTGGTTATACCATACGGTTTGTGCTATGAAAGTACCAAGCATTTGTTGTACCAAGTGTTATACAAAATAAATCTAGATTAGTCATTTAACAAGCAAATTATTAAAGAGTGAACAAGATAATAAATACAAAACATGTGAGTATCAAATATTAAAGTCCATGTTAAGTTTATAATATACTTATTCTTACATCATTAGTGTAACCTTTTTACCTTGACATAATAAATTTAGCTAAGCATAATGAAAGAGATAAAAATAAATAAACAATATAAGAATATAAATAAGATAAAAGTTAACTAAGTAAAGGACAGGAATTGAAAGGCATAAATAAGATATTAATAAAAACAAAACTTAAGCACTACAAAAATACAAAGAGAGAAAGCAAGAGTATGATCTTGATTTGAAAACCAAATGTCTAAATATATGGTAACTGCCTCTTTATATAGGCTAAAATTAAAAAGTATTGATTTAATGATTAATTAATGAGTAGATGGCCAACTCTTGACTTGGTGATAATCCTTATCTTTTCTTGTCTGAATAAAATGGCATTAATAACATTATAATTTGAACCAGACCTCCACATGAAAGTTCTAATAGGTCAAAACATTTTTATTAGGGATGGCTAATTAAATATTAATATTTTGAAGCATTCTATTGGTGATTTTATTGGTATTATTTAATTTAAATTTTTTATTTAATCAAAGATTTTCAAAAACTCCCCAAATATCACCAACAACTTTTCAATTTGTCGGTGGTTTCATCTATAATATTTAATTTAAATGTTTAACTTAATCAAAAACAATTTAGGAAACCCCCCCAAATATCACCAACAACTTTTAAATCTTTCAGTAATTCCATCTGTAAATAATAGTAATTAGCAATGCAATTTAGAAGTAAACAGTTCCAGAGCTCTCTTGAAAATATCAACAGACTTAATCCGTCGGTGATTCCATA